AAAAAATTCAAAGAGAAAAAAAAAAAAAAAACCTGGAGCGGCTCGGATCGCGGCTCGGCTCGGCTCGGCTCTAGGAAGAGAAAACGGCTCGAGGGAGCGGCTCGGCTCGGCTCGGCTCGGCTCGAGGGGGCTGGCACGCGCGGGTCAGAAAGCTGGTCGACGTCCGGGTCGGGTCGGGTTCGGCAAAACGCGCGGATCCCCTGGTTAACTTAAAGCCCAAAACGACGTCGTTTTGGGAGGGTATAAAAGGCACCTTCCTCCGTTTTTTGGCAGAACGCTCCTCCCCCTCTCTCTCTCTTCTTCCTTTTTCTCTCCCTTCTCTCTAGAAACTGAAGAACACCGGTGCCGGATTCTGGAAATTTTCGCCGGAATCTGGAAATTTCGCCGGAAGTTGGCCGGAAGATCGCCGGTTTCTGGGATTCTTCGCCGGAAACTGGGCTGGTCGCCGGAAACTTCAATGTTCGTCGGAATTGTTGCCGAAAAATTCAAATTTCGCCGGAATTTTCGTCGGAATCTGGAAATTTCCCAGAAATTTCCAGAAAAATTTTTCGCCAAAAATCTCTAAAAAAATTTTCCTCACTCCCAGAACACTCCTAAACTTTTCCTAGCTTTCTATACGCCTCCTTTTCTCTCAAATCAGTAGCTTTGCTTACTGTTTTCTGTGTGTCTTGCATTCTGTTCCAGAGTCCCTTTTATAGGGATTGATCAGGAGTTCCTGATCAATCCCAATTCCTCCTTGGACGGGAATTCAATCTTTGAATCCCACTGGACTCTTCTGATTGAATTCCCATTTCCAATGGGATTCTTCAGCCTTCAATCTCAGCCCTCCAAAATCAAAATCAAATAAAATAAAAAACTAGATAATTAGAGAAGATAAATCAGCAGATATTATAGGATAAATAATAATAAAAAATATATCAGATATATAATTATATAAGTAAAAATACAAAAATGAATAAAATAAAAAAGATAAAAAATATATATATATACATAAATAATAAAATACACATAAATATTAACAAAAATAAATAAATAAATATATACATATATTAATACATAATAATAATAATAAATAATACAATACATAAAATACAAAAGAATAAGAAAAGAGAAAAAAATACAAGATAAAATTGAATTGGGCTTACCCATTTGGGCCAAGCCCAATTGATCTGGGCCGGACCCAATTGGGTGTCTACAATAAGTAGTAATTAAGTTTTGAATAATTAATTCATCAATTAAGTGAATATAGAATTGATATTGATATGAATTTTTTTTGTTGATGTATATAAAAAGCCTCTGAATTAAAATTATATAAATATTCAAATTCACATCTTTTTATTACCATTAGTTGAATTTTCAAATATTTATGTTTAACCAATTGAGCTTTTATTGGAGAGGAAAAGGTTAATTGCCATCATCAATTTTCATTCAAATGAGAGTTTTCTTTCAACCGAGGGTTCAGTTGATTAAAAATAAATGTTTGAGGATTCAGTTGGATGACAATAAATATTTGATGACTCAATTAATTATAATAAAAAGATAAGAGTTTGGATTTTTATTTAATTTTAGTTTAGAAACATTTTTTATATTCAAGCCTAATTTTTTTTGTTCCTTTCAAATCAATTCTTAGAATGGAAACTCTCTTTGCATATTGATATATATAATTTTTGAGCAACGTGCATTGATCAATGATTTTTTAACTTGTATGACTAATTGTATATATAGTAATATATTTCAAGATTTTGCAAAAGAATTAATCACGATAGGACTATAAGCCAAAAAAAGAAGAAAGAAAAAGTCAATAAAAACAATTTGTATCAAAATTTTGAAATAATAAAAATTATACATAAAAAAAAAGTTGTACATAAACATAATTCTAAAATGAGGCTAAATGCATAACAGAGTAAAATATGCATGCCAAGGAGATGTTTTCTCCTTTTATTTTCAAGCAAACTTTACTTTATTAGGAAGTCAAAAAATGCTTTCCTTATTGTTTAATTAACATGGTTTATCGTTTCCTACTTATGAGCCAGCGGGATAGATGTTCCGGCAGGGGCGGAGCATGCAGACGGGTTCTGTTTGCCCGTAAGTTTGGGACTGACATTCGAACAGTAGGATATTGCGGGTCCTTCAGGTCCTTTGTATGTAAGATCAATGTCAGCGAGCTCCACACCCTCGCATGGCAAACCGCTGCTGCAAATAAGCTTGACAGCTTGCTGAGTTGAAGATGTGCCTCGAATGTTCTTGAAACTGATGTTGCTGAGTTTAATACGTGATGGAATCTGGATAAACAAAATAATGCTTTAAATATTGAGTAAAGCTTTTCATTTGATCAGTATTTTGATAAATACGTACCTTTAAATCACATTGATTCCACGGGCAATATTCTTGATCAATAAGGATAGGATTGCCGACGTTATTCATGGTAATATCTTCAAAATGCATGTCCGATGCAGAGCCAGGATAGGAGGCTGGCCAACTTTTGATTCTAACACCATTCATTGTATTACTGATGGTGCACTTCGAGACTTTAATTCCAGAAACTGGTTCCTCACCTTGATTTCCAGACTGCCGATGCTGATACCAGACCTGGCAAGGTTATCTCCTTGGACGACCACATTCTTTCTACCATCATCGATAGAACACAAGATACACAGTTTTTTATGTCTTAGCAAAACATTCTCCCATCTGATCGATTCATGTGAATTCATCAGTGTCAGACTGTTTTTTGGTGAGACGGTGAAATTTGAGAATGATGTTTTTGCATCCAAACAAACGTTAAACTGTTGCTGTTTTGGTTCTTATATCTTGTACATGGCATGCTCACAAAATTGAACCTTAAGTTCTGTTTAGTTTGAGAGTGGAATAAAGAACACAAGAAATAATTTTGTTTAGTGGAACTTTACTTTCTACCTGTGTATAAATGGGTAAAACATATTATATTTAAAAACTAGGAAGCAGATACGTTGTACATAAAAAAACTTAATTATTCATTGAGTAACTCCTCATCTATAATAAAAGCATTTAGATTTGATAGTTGTTCAATGTGATATTATAAAAACAAAAGAAAAAAATATTTTTCTTTAATTTGAGGAAATCTAAATAGAGTTTTAGAAAGAAATTCGATTTCTTGCACAAGGAAAGAAACCTTACAATGGGAAGTGCGGCACAATATTTGTTTTTAGAACAATCATTCTTGCCCCAAGCAGCGGCTCCTTGGCCGTCAAAAACTCCACCACCAGACATTGTAAATTGTTCAAGTTTGTTAAAGACGACCCAATTAGGGTCCTTGAAAGCGCTAGGATCAGCCGGAGCCTTCACAGTGCCCTGAACTTGAAGCTCAATAGGACCCTTGCAGGGACCTTCTAGGGTTGCTTTACTTAGTAAGTATGTCCCTTTAGGAATCACAATTTTAGATGGAGTAGTGGAAGCGCATGCTTCTTTCCAAGCATCTAACAATGGCTAAGGCAAAAAAAAAAGAAAAAGATATCATTAAAATAAAATTTTATATATTTCATAGTTGGAAAATAAAATTGAGTGTATTTTTGCTTACCTGACTCAAATCCGTCTTCTCATCAGCCTTTGCGCCATACTTGGCAACTACATCAAAAACACCTGATTGAGCTTTAGCAGTTGAAGTGAACAAAAGCAATAATACTGATACGACTGTAATACTCAATTGTACATCCATATTTTTCCTTTCCCAAGTATTTGAATTTCTTCTTTTCAATTTTTAAATGGTGAATTGTTGTGAAGGAACAATGATTTTGCTTTTGTTTTGTTTCAAACCATTTTATATAGAATACTTGGAAAGCTACAACCAATCAATTTTTAACCGAATACTTTCTAATTTTAGCAATGTGAGTAACATATGGTCTTAATTTACTTACTATTTTTAGCTCTTTTTTTTTATATCTACTTGATTGGATATGTGTAATTTACAGTTTATCATATATTTTAATCAAATTATATATTTTTTTTGTTTTTAAATGGTCAAATTATCCTTAAATAAAGCCATACAAGTTTAAAATTTACGACTTTTGCCACCTTTTTATTATTAAAATATATTGAAATTATTTATTATTAAAATTATTAAAATTAAAATATTTATATTTTAATAATAATATTTAATATTAAAATATTATATTAATATAAAAATACTTAAAATAAAACTATTTATTATTCTTGATATTATTTATTCATATATTATAATATTATTTCTTAATGTTATTTATTAATATATTATATTAATAGTATATTATCTATTAATAATATCTTATTTATTCATATATTATTGTAATATTTATTAATTAAATTAATAATTTTTTATATATTATTTATTAATATATTATTATTTATTAATAAATATAATATTATTTATTGATATATTATATTAATATATTATAATTTTATTTATTAATATTAATATATTCGTATATATTTATTTATAATAATATTTATTAAGATATTATTTATTAAGATTTTTATTAATATATTATATTAAAATAATATTGTTTATTAATATATTTAATATAATATTATTTATAAGTAAAATTATGCTAAAAAACATTAATAAATAATTATTCTCATAAGCAGTTTTTTTTTTTTTTTCGTAAAATGTCTTTCATTTTCAAATCCATAAAATAATTTTCAAAAAAATGATTTTATTTTTTGTTAATCAGTAAATTATTTTTCATTAACCAATCAATTTTCTATCAAACAAACTTTTCAAAATACGAAAATAATTTTCCGCGAAACAAATGGAGGCTTATTATCTCGTTGGAGTTCCATGAATGACAATGATCAAGTGAGAATCAGAGATTCAGGCACAGGGCCATTCAAATTGAAATGGTAACTGCAACACAAAGAGCTCACACTCTTTAACACATAACCTCAGTAGCATATAAATATTAAAAAAAAAAGTTTTAAAAATTAAAGTAGATTGAGAATCCCAGATATGTCCCTCCCCTGAACATGAATTAGACTCAGTGAATTCCAAATTAGAAGAACAGGGCCATCCCACCTAAGGCTGCCAAAAGCATTTGACTCCAAATGCCAAAGTTCATAATCCTATGAGATGATGAATTTGAAGGCGAACACTTGGGTGAAGAACCACTTTCTTTGGATTCTGCTGATGGAGTATCTGCAGCTGGGCTAATATGAGAAGCCGGGGCTGGAGCAGGAGTTGAAGGTATGCCAGTGCCGAAGATTGCCTCCGGAAGAAGGACCTTATCGAATTGATATATTGCAAAAGGAGCAGTTGAGAGTACAGCGCTGGTGACTTTTGTTTTGCTCCATCCTGAATCAAGGTGCGCGGTGCCAGAATCATCAGTGAAATTCAAAGTGTATTGGCCACCAGCAAGTGTACTAACAGGGCCTTTTGCACCAAGATCATTGAAGTCTGCGACCCGACCCGTAAGCTTGACTTACTTTCAACCCGTGTTCCTATTCTTGGCCCCAACCAAGTTGAGTCGCGTTGTTCTAGCCGTTTCCTCTACTTACAGCCGAGCCAAGTTCTTCAATCTGAGTTGAGTCATTTTTTTGTTTTGATAATTTATTTATTTATTTATTTTTTAAAAATATTTTTGTACAATTAAATTTTTTAAAAAATAAAAAATATAAAACAAAATAATTTTTTGAAAATAAAATACTAATTATCAAATGATGAAATTTTGATAAAGTTAAAATGGTTAATTTTTATAAAATTCTTAAGTGAGAAATTTTTTTTTAAAATTTAATCCAAATGGTGGAATGAGTTAGATAAAGTTTCAATAATATTTATTTTCAATTTAAAAAAATAAAAAGTTTAATAAAAATTTTAGAATTAAATACTAATTACCCAATAATGAGATTTTTAGAAATTTCAAATGATAAATTTCTTAAGAAATCTCTAGACGAGAAATTTTTGTAAATTTGTCTCAAATTGTGAAATAATTTAGATGAAATTTTAATAAAAATAATTGTATCCTTTTTCAAATATGAAGATTTTTTTGAAATATTTGATAATTATCTAAGGACGAGAATCTTCGAAATTTCAAATGACAAATTCTCTAAGAAGTCTCTAGGAAAGAAATTTCTTTAATTTTGTCCCAAATTATGGAAGAATTTAAATGAAACTTCAAAAAATAATTGCATATTATTTTATTTTCAAAGAATAAAAAAAATTTCTAAATAGACCCAAATGGCAGAAAATTTAGAAAATAAAAAAATTTTTCTAAATTAGCCCAAATGGTGAAAAATTTAGAAATGAAAAAATAAAAAATAAATTCAAAAGATGAAATTCTTAGTAATTGCAAATGGTTGATTATTTAAGAAATTTTTAGATGAGAAGATATTTCTAAATTTGGCCCAAATGGAGGATGAATTAGAAATATTTTCAAAATAAAAAAAATGATTGAACATTTTTTTTGATGACGGAGCCTCTTTAAGAAAACAAATAGGATTTTGAATACTCTTAAAGTGAAGAGGTAGTTTTAAGAATTCTACTAGATTGATAAAGAAATCTTAAAAGTAATTTTCAATATTTAAACATTAAAATAAAAACCATTAGAACCAAGATAATTGTTAGGGTAATTTAAAATTAAATGGTACCATTTTAGGATGATAATCTCCACAATGGCAAGCAAAATACTCCCACTCAAATTGAATCCTTTCCGTTGGTAGCTTGTGATGGGTGGAGATTGGAATGCATTTCTAGTTTGTGATGGAAAATGATATAAGGAATAATTTATGAACCTTTAGTGGTCAAAGTTACCTAACCCTACATATAATCTACATTTACGAGGCTAGCCTTAAGAGAGAGCCCTTTTTACTTATTGATAGATGTAACTCGAAGTTAGGACACCGAAGGAACAATTTGTGTGATATATTGATTATCTAACCATTTTATATGTTTGACTTTGTGCATTTACATTATTTCAATTAGTGCTTGCATTTAATTCCATGCATCATTTTCATTGTCATGTTTAACATTGTGCATCTACATCATTTTCATATAGGGAATAGTTGTCATATATTAGTTATTGATAAATTAGAACTTGTACTAATGTAGAATGATAGTTATGTGACAAATAGTAGTCCAATCCATTCATGCATGAAAATACTAAACATAAAGCATGGCATTTCTAATAATAAAGCAATTGTAGTACTCATGGTTCAAGAATAGCTCCATCAAGCAAGAGCCCCACATAATCAACTCACCAATGCAATACAAGAGCTTAAACCAGACAAAAAGAACAAGAGAATTCAATCATCTCAAAAAGATAGAGAGAGTTAAAGAAAAGCTTGAAAGGGAGTTGAATAAGATTTTGGAATCTTTGAATAAGTTGAACAAGGGGAAGAATGTAGAAGAGAATGCTAATAGCAGGACCATCCATCACAAGAGGTAGCTAACCCTCTTTGCCCTTCTGATTTTGGGCTATACCAAGCCCAGTCCATACAGGAATAGCGATTTACATACCTTATAGGGTATATATACCTCGAAATGCAATCAACTTCAAATCCAAGGTATTGCCAAAGCTATAAAAATCTTGTCTTTACTGAAAAGGCAATATAACTAATTCAAGTCCCTGATCTAGATGCTCCAAAAAAAATTTAAAACCAAAATGCGATGAGTCACTGAGGGACTTAATAGCTGAGAAAAAGATGCGTATGCTCGAGGAAAGTTATGAGCAATAGAAAAAATTGGTTTTTACGGTTTCGTGGATGCTACTGGGCTCTGTTTAATCCCAGATGTTGTTATTCTTTCAAAATTTAAGGTATCGGAGTTTAAAAAATATAATGGTACAAAATGCTCAAAAACCCACATCATCATATGTTACCGAAAGATGGCTACCTATGCTAATAATAAAAAGCTGTTAATACATTTATTTCAAGATAGCCTTACTAGCTTTGTTGCTAGGTGGTATGTCTAACTGGATAGGACATGCATTCAGTCATGGAGTGAAATGGCCTGTAACTTCATCAGTCAGTATCGATATACCATAGATTTAGCTTATGATCATCTATGTTTACAAAATATGAAAAAGAAGGCAATTAAATCATTTAAGAAGTATGCCCAAAGGTGTAGGGACATAACTACTCAAGTTTAGCCACCTTTGATTGAGAAAGATACCATAGTGTTATTTGTAAGAAATTTAAAATCTCTTTATTATGGAAAGATGATGGAGAATGCAACAAAAAACTTCACTGATATGGTGATTTTAAGAGAAATTATTGAAAATACCATCAAGAGTGACAAGCTTTAGGAAGAAGAAAGCATAAAAAATGGAGGGTTACCTAAAAAAAAAAAAAATTAAAGCCCAAATTATGAATTTTGATGGGCAACAATTCAGAAGTGATGCTCTATATCCACCGCCTATTTATCCTGTTTACTATCTCACGTTATGGTATTGCGCAAGCCTTTTACCAACCATATCCACAATTAACTTACCTATCAATCAACCTTTCAAGTACTTATATATGGGTCTGATGATATCACTACATCAGCTTCAAAGCCTAATAACTGAGCAAGTGGTTTAAGAAGATCTTAGAATACCATGAAAGGGCTCATATTGATCATATCCTTATAACTTACATTGAATTATTCCAGAATTGGTAAAAAATGACTTGGTATCTCTAGTTATTCTAGAGCCATTGAAGCCACCCTATCCAAAATGGTATGATGCTAATGTCACATGCGATTATCATAGGTCATTTTATTAAAACTTACCATGTTTTCAAACACAAGGTGGAAAGTTTGATCCAAAAAAGACCAGGTGAGCTTCGACGAATCAAAACTGCAAGATGTCAATAAAAATCTTTCACCTGATCACACAGGGGCATAATTTTCAGATAAAAAAAGATGTTAAGGCTGGTTGGATGTTGCTTAACATTTTGGGATTTCTTTTAAAGTAATGTTTGGATTTTTTATGTAATAAGATTTCATTTTTTATCATTTTAATAAAAGGCAAGCATGATGCATCTCATTACATTTTCTCATTCATCCAAATCACTATTCCATGCTTAGGTTTTTCACATGTCTTTTTATTTCCATTCTTAAATTTCAAATAATGAATGTTTAGACAATGATAATAATGATTCTAGGATTTAATTTTGAAAACGCATTCAAATTGATCTATGGAGACTATTTGATTAAAAGAAATAAATTGCTAGCAGATATGAAATAGAGATGCCTTGAAGATATACAGTCCTTTATAATGATCCATGAGTTTGTCTTTGTTTAATAAATAATCTTCAAAGAAAGCATTCACGTTTAAGATGAAAAATGATTGTTTTTCTTTTACCATTCATAAAACTATCCATTCGTAACTCTTTTGAGCCTATTATGAGAAGAACATACTTGAAAAAGGAAAGAGGTAAAAGATCACAAATGTCTCAAAGATAAAAAAAAAAATGAATGCCACAAATGAGCTAAGGCAAAGTAATGAGAATCTTTTTGTAAGAAATAAGATGAAAAAAAAAGAAAAAAAGCAGTAAAATGATGTGAAATGACTTAAAATGACCAGTTGCATTAAATAATGAGAAATGATCCTTTAGTTTTAAACCCTTTAAGCATTATGTTTTGAGCCTGTTTTATCTATTTCTTCATTATCCCTCACCATAGCTTACATTAACAACCTTTAAAAGTCTATTTTGATCAAATGTGAATCTCAATTAAAATTATCCATAATGTTAGGCTAAAGCATACTTGTGATGGAACAATGGAATTGTGTTATGTTATTTTAGAGATTGATGGTGTGAGAGATATCAATTAATGATGAAAAATTGAAAAAAAAAGAATGAAAAATTGAAGAAGATGAAAAAAAGAAAAAAATGAGAGATTGAAAAATGAAAAAATGAAAAATGTAAAAAAGAAAGAAAAGGAAGACTGAATTGGAAACTAAAAGGGTGATTTGGATAAAAAAAACCTTTTAAGTTAAAAAGTTAGATAGACAATTCAAATATATAGAGATAAAAAACATCTGAGATCCTTCAAGTTTGGGCAAAGTTCAATGAGAATCAAAAACAATAAAAACAATGGAATTAGCTTTTGAAAAAGAATTCTATATTAACGTTAAGAATTATCTAAGTATTCAATGTTTAGACATTGTAGTACCATTCAATACCAACTTTAGTGATATGCTTCGAATTTGTTCTTTTACCCGTTTATTTTTTTACTACACTCATTCTTGTATTGATTACATTTCTCCCAATTCACCTTGTACTCTCTTATTTTTGCATCCCCAGAATAAATCAAGAAAATATATGATTACATTATATTTGTCAAGAATTGAAATGATAATGAATGAATGATAATATTTAGAAATTATATTTGCATTCCTTTGAAGAAAAATCCAAGATGATAAAGGCAAAAAAAAAAATGATGGATGAAACCTAAAAAGGTGATTTGAAAGGACACATGGGTTGACCAAGTGATAAATATAGTAATGGATCAATCGACATAACCTATGAGTTGTGATCAAATGATGGAAATAATATGGATCAGTAGATGAAATTTGTTCTGAAATTGTTAGTGCTAAGAAGCTTGTGATTGTGATCAAATGATGGAAATAATGTGGATCAATTGACGAAATTTGTTATGAAATTATTAGTGCCGAGATGCTAAAAAGTAAATATAAGATGGTGGAGTCTTGAGAACCATATTATCACAATTAATTAGAATTTCATGACAGTAATGTTGGTGACAACTGCATTACATGCATTTTGATTGCATTGTTGTCTGAATAATACATGTATATAATTTGATGAATATTTGAATCTTAGCTAGCCATACATTTGCCTTATGTAGTAAACATTTGAATCATGGTTAGAATATGGCATCTACATTATTGTGAAAATCTAGACTGTTACATTTGTATAATTAAGAAAACATTTGCATCATTATTATGACATTTTTTATATACAAAATTTTGACTTTGAGGAAAAATTGAGAATTTTTACGATAAAAAATTTTGAACTTTTTTATGAAAGCTTTTTAAGATAAGGTTGGGAATCCTCGAATGGGAAAAATGTTTTATGAGGAAAACATTTAGTGTTCTAAAGCTATGGAGCTTTTTAAAAATGCATTTTTAATGTTAAAAATTTTAAATGAGAATTTTAAGAAGTTTTAAGTGAGAATCTATAAGGCCTTTTAAATGAAAATCTTTAAGAAGTTTTAAATTGATAATCTTTAGGGAGTTTTAAAATGAGAATCTTTAAGAAGTTTTTAAAGAATTTTAAATAAGAATCTTTAAGAAGTTTTAAAATGAAGAATCTTTGAGTGAGAATATTTGTTTTTGAGTTTTAAATGAGAATCTTGAGAATTTATGTGAATTTCCAAAGTTTTTGAATCCAAATCTTTGAAATATCAAATGTGAATCTTTGAACTTTTGGATGTGAACCCAAAATTTTTTGAATGAGAACCTTTGAATTTAGATGTGAAATTATAAAATCTATCGAATGTGAATATTTGAACTCGAATGAGAAGCTTTAAAATTTTGGATGAAATATTGAAGTTTTTTTTTTAAAAAAATCTAATGGGAAACATTAAAATTTTTGAATCAAAATATTTGAAATCTTGGAAGTGAATCCCTAAAGTTAAAAAAAAAATTGAGATCTTTAACTTTTGGGCATGAATCTCTAGAATTTTTGAATGTGAGTATGAGCCTTACAATTTTCATGCGAATCCTTAAATTAAAATTTTGGATATTAATCTCTTAAATATGAATCTTAAATAAATATTAAGCATGATATATGTGTTTGATGAAAATAAATATTTGATGACTTGATTAATTATAACGAAAAGATAAGAGTTTGAATTTTTTTTATTTTTAGTTTAGAAATATTTTTTATATTCAAGCCTAATTTTTTTTTTTGTTCTTTCCAAATCAATTCTTAGAATGGAAACTCTCTTTGCATATTGATATATATAATTTTTGAGCAACGTGCATTGATCAATGATTTTTTAACTTGTATGACTAATTATATATATAGTAATATATTTCAAGATTTTGCAAAAGAATTAATCACGATAGGACTATAAGCCAAAAAAAGAAGAAAGAAAAAGTCAATAAAGACAATTTGTATCAAAATTTTGAAATTATATAAATTATATATAAAAAAAAAAGTTGTACATTAACATAATTCTAAAATGAGGCTAAAAGCATAACAGAGTAAAATATGCATGCCAAGGAGATGTTTTCTCCTTTTATTTTCAAGCGAACTTTACTCTATTAGGAAGTCAAAAAATGCTTTCCTTATTGTTTAATTAACATGGTTTATCGTTTCCTACTTATGAGCCAGCGGGATAGATGTTCCGGCAGGGGCGGAGCATGCAGACGGGTTCTGTTTGCCCGTAAGTTTGGGACTGACATTCGAACAGTAGGATATTGCGGGTCCTTCAGGTCCTTTGTATGTAAGATCAATGTCAGCGAGCTCCACACCCTCGCATGGCAAACCGCTGCTGCAAATAAGCTTGACAGCTTGCTGAGTTGAAGATGTGCCTCGAATGTTCTTGAAACTGATGTTGCTGAGTTTAATACGTGATGGAATCTGGATAAACAAAATAATGCTTTAAATATTGAGTAAAGCTTTTCATTTGATCAGTATTTTGATAAATACGTACCTTTAAATCACATTGATTCCACGGGCAATATTCTTGATCAATAAGGATAGGATTGCCGACGTTATTCATGGTAATATCTTCAAAATGCATGTCCGATGCAGAGCCAGGATAGGAGGCTGGCCAACTTTTGATTCTAACACCATTCATTGTATTACTGATGGTGCACTTCGAGACTTTAATTCCAGAAACTGGTTCCTCACCTTGGAACTTTCCAAGACTGCCGATGCTGATACCATGACCTGGCGCCACAGGTTACTCCTTGGACGACCACATTCTTGCTACCATCACCGATAGAAAACACATACATCACCATTTTTTTTATGTCTTGTCAATAACATTCACCCATCTGATCGACGCAATGTGAATTCATCCTGTGTTCAGACTGTTTTTCTGGTGCAGAGACGGTGAAATGTTGAGGAAAGTGATGTTTTTGCATCCCAAACATTAACGTTTAAAACTGTTTGCTGTCTTTGGTTGTTATATCTTGTATCATGGCATTGCTCACATATAATTGAACCTTAAAGTTTGTTTAGTTTGAGAGTGGAAATAAGTAACACAAGAAATAATTTTTGTTAGTGACATTACTTTCTAGCTAGTGTAATAAAATGGGTAAAACATATTATATTTAAAAAACTAGGAAGCAGAACGTTGTACATAAAAAAACTTAATTATTCATTGAGTACTCCTCATCTATAATAAAAGCATTTAGATTTGATAGTTGTTCAATGTGATATTATAAAAAACAAAAGAAAAAAATATTTTCTTTAATTTGAGGAAATCTAAATAGAGTTTTAGAAAGAAATTCGATTT